AAGGACCCTTAGTTATCTATCGGCGTGCTGATAGAAAGGATCGTTATACTAAACTAACCTTCTAAGTAATAGAAGGGCCTACTATTTTAAGAGGGTGTGTAGGGCTTTTAGGGCCTCTTCTAGGATATTGATTTTCTCTTAAAGGTACTCTCTTTTAGCTAAAAGAGATCTAATTATTATAAGGTTATATATTATTAATTAGATTAAGGTTTATATTATATAAAGTAGTATAATAATAGTAGTACCTTGGTTGGCTCATATTGTTAAGCTACCAAGGACTGCTTTGCTACTTGGGTCGGTTACGTTACATAGCCTATACCTACAGAGACAGGTGAAGAGGTAGGTGGCCTTTTACCTATATAAGGCCACCTTCCCTCCTTCTTCCTTCTCTCACTTACTTTATATCTCCTATACTTCCTATAATCTCTATATCTTCTATATTTCCTATATTTCCTATATTTCTTATTTCTCTTTACGTCTCTTATCTCTTCTTTTCTTTATCTTTCCTATCTATTCTATTCTACTTCTCTTTTCTATGACTACTTTTTATTACTGTATACTATAAACTAGCAGATTAGCTTAGCAAACCCAATCCCAAATCTCTAACCCATAGATTTTAAAGGAAGACTGTTAGCTTTAATCTAGTATACAATAAAAAATACTGTCTTGGATAAGCTTAGGCATTTTTTATATACGGTAAGTTATACAATGTGACGGGAATATCCGTATGCCCCCGAGTTCTTGTTAAGAGATGATTATCTGGAAGGCACCCCCGACTGCGCCGAGGGAACCTTCTTCATCTTTACCTAGCTACCTTACACAAGCGTAAGCTTGAACATATCATAAGACAACCATGGAGTTAATCTCTACCGATCTAATACACCCCGCTGACCCTACACTACAGTGAAGTTGCGAGCCACGACAACTATCCAGGCACTTCTACAGTAAATCTAAAGCTATCTACGCAACTCAGAAGGTCCCTAGCCCTGAGGAAATCTACGAAAGACTATCTTAGTTAATAGAAGGTTAACTAGTACCGATAAGACATATCATGCCGTATTACTATTGAAACCACCTTCGCATTAAGGCCTACGTGCCCTCCAAGGGCAAGGAATCTAAACTCCTTGAAATAGGATAGCGGTGTTTTGTGCACGTTAGCCATCTGAATAGACGTGTAGAGCGCTACAAGTGACTCCAGATCTAACGTGAGTGAATGCGGCATGAGAAGGGTAGATGTCCCCTAACTATGTAAAGACTCTGTGGGTTTCACTTACCTGTCTCTCAGTTGCTCTTCGGGCCACGGTGCACCTTTCCTGTAGCCGGTGCAAATTGTTGCGAGCACAGAAAATGTAGGCAGGTGATACTCCGATCACTTCATTTATATGCGTACCCTCATCAGGCCTCTTGACGAAACCCGCTAACCACTCAGCGGGTCTCACGATTTACAACCCGTTTCGTTCCAGGGAAACTGCTGTTGTTGATCCGGGAGAAACCCTCCGAACATGAGTTTGCAAGTCGCCTAGGTGCTCTGAGCAAGGTCAGCAGGAAGTCGTTCATTCCTTCACGAAGCGGTTGGGGCAACGTGGCGTGTCTGGCTCGATGACTGGGCTGACTGCGATGAGAAGCAGGGTCAGACTCGTTCCTTTCGCTTAGGTACGAGAACGAGAATAGACACAACATGCCATACATTGGAACCATGGTTGGTGAGTCCTCGTAGGCTGATGTTGACCAGACATCAAACACCCCATCCCCAAACCCTCGCTCTCACAATAGATTAGCGAATCTCACCCAGGTGTATGTTCAGGCAGCCCAGGGCGTGAATCTCACTTTTATCTGCACGTCTGGGGTGGCGCGATAGAGGTGTTCGCCTAATATCCCAATTGGGAATTGGGCGTGCCTCGAGATATGCATGGTCAGGCGCTAAGCAGGGATGAGGATCTCGCGCCGGGTCAGCTCCCGCTATTAGTCCTTTGCCAATTGTTTGTTCCTTGCACTGTGCCTACAGCGCTGTTGTAGCATGCCTTCGCGCTGCACCTTGGTGAATCCTTTCGCAGTGGCCTGTAGCGCGGCCAGGACAGTGCAGGCACTTGGCCTCAGCTCTCGCGGCCATCACAAGTCGGTTCATCGTCGACTACCAGAGGCGCCGAGAGCCCATAATTGACGGTGCAGTTAGTACCTTAGGTATTGAGCGAGCGTGGAGAAGACACTGGCCACTATTGGAGGTCCCTGAAGGCAGCCGTGGTGTATTGTCACCCCTTGTGCCCTTGGGCTCGTTTTCCATGGACTAACACAGGGTTTCCTCTCTCACACGACACCAAAGAGGCATCACAACGCGTTGGCGGTGATTGCAGTCATTTCTGCTTGCTGTCCTTGAGCGCCCTTTCATCAATATCCTCTCTTTTTCCATCGCCCAAAGGGACACAGTACAGACACCTCATGACGATTGGGCATCTTGGTTCACGATGTCCCAAAATGCAACATCCTCATGCCCAGCGTCTGCCGACGCAGACTTCGGCCCCTGGGCTGGGGAGGGTTGTCGTGGTGGATTTGACTTCACCTTGTTCTTCGAGGAAACTATCCTGTCCATGCCTGTGTCCAGCCTCTTCCTCATAGGCTCAGCATGGCGTCTCTATTTACTGAGTCGCCGATCAAAAGCTACCAGGGCCAATTGGCTGTTGACTTCCAAGCTTGTACGAGACTTCTCTGCCCCTGAATCCCTTTCTGCATCTCATGGCGTTGCTAACCAACGAATAGATCATCTTCTCGCTGTTATTGGTCATCAACCTCATCTTCCTGGTCTTCATCGCCCTCCCATATGACCGTCGTACTTCGGCATCCGTGGCCACGGCGACGCTGCGTCTGGTCGCGTCAGCAGCCTTGATCATTCTGGCATACTTTGAACACATCTACACTCTACGACCATCAACCATGATCAGTGTATACCTGCTTGTGTTGTTGCTGACAGACTCGGCTCGGATGCGTACCTTGGCCCTCATCTCTGCAGGCGACAAAACGTCCATCGCCTTCGCCTTCTCTGTGGCCCTTCAAACCGCCGGACTCGCCGCAGAGTCCGTCACGAAATCGGGCTTCATTGCAGTGGATGAGAAGAAGGTCTCTCCCGAGTCTACTGGTAATCTTTTCGCCCGGTCTACCTTTACGTGGCTGCGCAAGCTGCTCCTAATTGGGTACAAGAGGGTGATTATGGTGCGCGACCTGTTCCGCCTTGACAGCGTCATGGATTCAGAGGCACTGGCTGCCAAGTTCCGCGGCTTCGCGCTCGAGAAAGGTATGTCACATGCGCTCTGCTCACACAGGAAGGCTGACACATTTCGAAGCGGGTAAGAAGCGCAAGTCCACGACGCTGCTCTTCGAGACTTTCTGGAAGCTCAAGTGGCCAATCTTCGCTGCTTTCCCGGCAAGACTCATTACGATGGGCCTCACATTTGCCCAGCCTTTCCTTCTCGCAGATACTGTCGGCCTATCTGCATTGCCTGTTGTGAAGGAAACCGACCAATGGGGATATGGGTTGATCGGAGCTTTCATCCTTGTCTACCTTGGACTTGCCGTACGTAACATTCACCCAATCCGTCGATTGTTGTGTTGTGTGCTCTTGCTAATGTGCCCCTTTGCAAATGTAGATCGCGTCTTGCCAATACCAGTACAAGATGGTGCGCGTGGTGACAATGACCCGCGGCGGTCTGGTCAGCCTCGTCTATGCTCGCAGCATGAACCTTGATCCTAAAGACCAGGCGAAGGCTGGAGCTGCACTGACACACATGAACGCGGATATTGAGCTGATTACAGCTGGTGCTTTCTACATCCATGAGCTGTGGTCAAGTCCCGTGGAGATTGCTGTCGGTATCTGGCTAGTTGAGAGACAACTCGGAGTTGCCTGCTTGATTCCAGTCGTGATTGCCATTCGTACGTTTATTTCCAAACATTCGAGTCTCTGGTCAACCTTGAGCTCACCAATCTTTCTCTTCAGTTGCCGCCGGCGCCACGTTCTGGCTCACCAAGCGCATCAACTCTGCTCAAACGGCTTGGGTCGGCAAGATCACGGAGCGAATTGCCATGACTGGCGTCACCTTGAACTCCGTCACAGGCTTGAAGTTGGCCGGATTGCTTGACAAGAGTCTTACCTTACTTCAAGGGATTCGTGAAAGTGAATTGCACATCTCCAAGACATTCCGAAAGCTGCTCATCGTGAACATGCTGCTGGGTACGTTCTTGCTTTCGCCGCCAACGGCCTTCTCTGAATCAATGACGTCCGCTAATGGTCCCAGCCTACGTCTCTCCTGTTCTCACACCCGTCTTTACCTTTTTGCTATTCGCGCTTGTGTCTAGGTCCGATCCAAGCTCATCGCTGACCATCAGCCGCGCTTTCTCTTCCCTGGCTCTGTTGACTGTCATCGCCTCACCATTGACGATGATTATCAGCATGGTACCTACCCTCATCGTGTCATATAATTCTTTCAATCGAATCCAACGGTATTGCGAGCGCGAGGAAGAAGCGCCTGCTGCCCCCTCGGCTAGCCTTGACGAAAAGTCACCCCCGACCAACTCCAGCTCCAACAATGACCTGCCGATGCGCTCGCTTCCAGCCTCTGAAACTAGTGACACAGCAGTCATTATTGAGAATGGGTACTTCTCGTGGGTGCCTGGGGCTCTATCCGGGATTGAGAACGTGAATATGGTGGTCAAGAAGGGATCGTTCGCGATGATATTGGGCGCCACTGGATCAGGCAAGTCTACAATTCTGAAGGCACTAGTCAACGAAGTTCCCGAGGCTAGGGGAATTGTGCACTGCATCCAAGGCGCGAAAGGTTACTGCGCACAGACGCCATGGCTCCCGGCCGGTACAGCGCGTGAAGTCATCATGGCTGGCTCTCCCGTCGATATGGAATGGTATCGCTCGGTCACAAAAGCATGCCAACTAGAGGAAGATTTCCGAGGATGGGATGAGGGTGATGACCATCCAATTGGGAGCAATGGTGCTGCCTTGAGTGGTGGACAGAAACAGCGCGTCGTAAGTGAACAAACCCTCGATTTCCGGCATGCCATCAGTAGTTAACGAGACAACACACAGGCTCTTGCTCGCTGCATTTATTCGAAAGCCAACTTGATGCTTCTTGATGACAGCTTATCCGGTTTGGATGTTGAGACAAAAGCCGCTCTGCTTGAACAGGTGTTTGGCGCAACTGGATTGATCCGAAAGCTCAACACAACGGTGATTCTGGTGTCGTCTACAAGTATGCAAAAATTGAGTCCCTTTATTTGCTCGCCCAGTCGACTCTAACGACTTCAATAGGAGAACACCAGGCCCTCGCAGACGAGGTCATGAACACTGGCGATGCCGAGGCGACCCCAGCCGCCGCTGTGCCATCAGAAGCGGCAGCGGTTGCCGAGCCACCTAAACCCGTGCTCAGGCTCCCGAAAGCTTTGAGAGATGCTATCGAGTCAGAAGCACCAGTCGCCGAGGCACCGGCCGCTGAGAAGGTTGAGGTAATGACAGACGCTGTGATTGCGGAAGACACAGGGTCCTCCTCGAAAGAGAGAGACCAAGACGACGACGAAAGCAGCAAGGGTGTACAAGAGATCGATCGCGACAACGCGAGACAGTATGGAGGGCGTGGCGCTTACAAGTACTACATCAAGCCAATCACATGGGCTTCGTTGATGACTTTCATCATCTCTATCATCCTGTTCACCTTCTGTCAGGCGTTCCCAAGTACGTTCAGCCCTGCGCAAAGAACCCTTCTTCCATCTCTCGCTAACATCCGTCCTCTACTAGGTGTGTGGCTCAAGATGTGGGCCGAGCATAACGAGAAGCATCCTGACAGCCAGCTGGGGCTGTATCTCGGTGTCTATGCTGCTCTTGGTGTTGGTGCCATTGCTTGCATTGTTATCGCCTCCTGGTAAGATCCGCCTGTCCGAGAAATTGATGATAATAGGCATTCTGACTGTGACTTCTGCGCAGGGGCTTCTTCGTCAACATTATTCCACAGACTGGGTCTTTCTTCCATCAAGTCCTGGCTACCACAGTGGCAAAGTGAGTCTTCTTTGCTGAGAGCTTGTAACCGATAGAGCTATGGAAGCTGACTAGCGTTGCAGCGCTCCCTTGGCTGCGTTGTCATCGATGGAGCCTGGCGAGATCACCAGCAGGTACGTGAAAGGTTCCCGTGGCCACGAACGATCTCTAAAGACTACACATGCTAATAATCTTACAGATTCAGTCAGGATCTTCAGATGATCGACATGGAGCTTCCTCTGGCCACCATGAACACCTTCGCTTGTAAGTTACAGATATCCGACAGACCAGTGTCGGATGGCTCTAGATGGCTTAATGCTTACACTTTCCAAACACAGCTGTGACGATTTGCATCGCTAGCGCTACGATTGTTGCGGTCGCCGGAAGATATGTGGCGATCGCCTTCCCGGTTGTCATTGCGATTTTGTTCTTCATCCAGAAATTCTATCTGCGCACATCGCGCCAGCTTCGTTTCCTGGAGCTGGAGACCAAGGGCCCTCTATATTCGCGTTTCCTCGAGTGCATCAGCGGTCTCAGCACAATCCAAGCCTTCGGTTGGGAGGAATACTACGAGCGCAACCAGTGGAGTTTCCTGGATACGTCCCAGCGGGCTTACTACCTCTTCCAGTGCCTGCAGCGTTGGCTCACTGTGACTATTGACCTCGTCGTTGCGATGTTATCTATTATTCTGGCGATTGTCCTGATCCAGATGCGTAGCAGCATTGGCGGCGGCTACATCGCTGTCGGTCTGGTGAACATCATGACCTTTAACGGCCAGCTGAAAACCGTCATCATGCATTGGACGTCGATGGAAATTGCACTTGGAGCCATTGCTCGCATCCGTGGTTTCTCAACCGTGACCGAGAATGAGAATGAGGGCCAAGGGACCGCTGAATGCCCCCCAGGGTGGCCTGCGAAAGGTGGCATCCAGGTCAAGAATCTGACAGTATCATATGGGTGAGTTCCAGGACCTGTGATACGGCCCTTCATATGTTCTAGCTTGAAACTGATACAAGATCGATCGTTTAGCGGACGACCGGCGCTTCGAGGAGTGAGTCTGGACATTCTTCCACAAGAGAAGATCGCAGTGTGCGGACGGACAGGCAGGTAAGTTACAAACAATAGCTCATGCTTCGCAGGATCGAAGCTAACCGCATGTCTTCATAAATGCAGTGGCAAGAGTACGCTTCTTATGTGTTTGCTCCGCATGGTCGACCCTGATCATGGATCGTCCATCCTCATCGATGGCGTGGACATTCGAACACTGTCGCGACAGCGCGTCCGATCGGGGATTGCGTACGTGTCGCAAGACCCGGTGTTCATCATGGACAAAGTCAAGACCAACCTCGATCCTTCGGGCGAGGCGACCGACGAAGCGATGATTGAGACACTGACCAAAGTCGGTCTCTGGGAGATCATTCAAGCGTCTGGAGGTCTTGAAATGACCCCGATGCAGCTTTTGCCGCTGTCGCCTGGTCAGAAGCAGCTCTTCGTCCTCGCAAGAGCCATGCTTAGACCCAAGAAGATTGTCCTTCTGGACGAGCCGGCGTCAACGTAAGGAATACTCTGCCCAGCACCAGGAGCTACCTTAGTCATTGAACATGGAGAGAATGAAGGCTAACATGATTATTGGCAGGGTCGATGATGCCACGGCTGATCGCATCAAGGATCTTATGCACACCGAGTTCCGAGATTGTACGGTCATCAACGTTGCCCACCGTCTTGAGACTATTAGGGCATACGACAAGGTGTTGGTCCTGCGCGAAGGCTCCAAGGTCGCATACGACAGCGTGAGCGCCGTGCTTGAGAGCGACGAGTGAGGGATTGGGCATCAGCACACAGAGCCCACTGTTACCGTTGGGGACATCAGATCGATAGTGTCCTCCACATCTTCCTTCCAACTCCCGACTAGGATTTCGGCCGGAAGGTCGCATCGCTAACAGCTTCGAGACTCTCCTGTCTCCGCTCAATCGCATAAGGTATGCGCGCGTCTCAATTTCGTGACGGTAATAAGCGCAATGTCGGGCTTCGCTTATCCCAGGGCCTCAATGGCACGATTCGATCTCCACTCTCATCAATAGTCTAGGCCTTTGCTTTTGGGGATTGGTGTCTTTGTTTGGTCAACATGCGACGGAATGCTATCACACGGGCTCGCCGCGCGCAAGTCCTGGGTTTGCCTGAACAGGTGGACCGACAAGTCTCAGAATTGCCCGCCGACACGAGGACCCTTGTCTGGAGGCTCTCGAAGGATGTGATGGGCAAGGTGTCCTATGGGTCTCTCATGTGTGATATGCCAGGTCATGTATGTACTGTCGTGTTCTAGGTGCTGTGTACTTAGAGCCGCATCTATGGCAAGTGTCTTTCCTAAGGCCGTTGCTGCATATGCTGGCAATTTAGCGTTGGTGAATTTTGTCTTTGTCGCCTGCAGATGTTGACGAACAGACGCCAAGTCGTTGAGGACTTGGTGTGCATGCACGTATCTTCCCGATTTGGAAAGCATACATAGAGGCAAATAGATACACAACGGGCCAAGGCACTTGGGATACATACACGTACGTCCCGAAAATGGAAATGAATCTGGCAAAAGCTCCACCTGAGCGGCTGGCTGGCTTCGGTCTGGCTCGGCATTTCGCCTTTTGCGCGCGTGAAAGTCCACTCAGCCCTTGTATGGAGTGGTCTCGGAAACCTCAGGTCATCAGTGGAGGATTCGAGGAGGATTCCTTTCGCACCAGGAAATCCCCGACTGACCTGGCATGATCTGACACAACGGTACCTGGCTCGGCTTCCAACCTCCCGCTTATGGTGGGCTGTTCCTTGTTCTCACGCCCCTACTGCGCCTCAACTAAACCCACCTCACCTCCTCTCGACTTACTTCACCTCACCACCATCGCGGCAGCGACATGAACGCATTCTAAGGACTCATGCGCGGTCAGCGGCCTTGCCCTATTCCGCTGTGTTCCAAGATGCTTCTACTTTGCTGGTGGCGTCGGAAGTACCTGGCGCCATGGCTTCTTGTTACGTCAATGGCTCATGTAGTTGTGAGATTTGTTGAGTATCCTATTTTAGTCTTAGGCAGAAGTGATTGTATACCGCTCGCCTATTGACCAGTCTGCACTTTTTTTTTCGGGGACTCCAGGACGCCCCCTTTACTTTGGGGTAAAGAGCCAGACTGAACTCATCGAACTGGTAGCCTCAATAATCACTCCCTGTGAGATCTTTTCTCTTCTCTTGGCAAAGTCTCGTCTGCCTCGCTTGTCTTGAAGACTCGCCCTCCATGGCTGTCCCAAAAGTTACCGTCCAGCAGATTCAATGGCGGCCCCGACTCGGTCGTGCTCCTGCGCCGCCGCCATTGTTCCTCATCCATGATAGTTCTGGTCTGTTGTTCAACTACCATCTACTTGACGATCTCAAGCGGGATGTTTACGGCATTGCCGATCCACTGTTTGGCACTGAGGAGCGCTGGCATGGAGGCATCCCCGAGATGGCAAGAGAGTATGTCTCTGCCATCCAGGCGACTGTTGGCAAAGGACCCATTGTCATCGGCGGTAAGCAAGCCCCGTAGCATCTTGCAAAGTTCTATCAACTGACAAATCGTTCTTGTAGGATGGTCACTCGGCGGCATGATTTCCATTGAGATGGCTCGCGTTATACGCAGGTCCCTGAGCACGACCACGGATGTCCGTGGCCTTATCCTCATTGACACGCCCAACACTCAAGGTTGGAAGGCTCTTCGCTCCGAGCTTGACCCTTTCGATCTTGATCTCTCAAAGGCATCACCTCGCGTTCAGCAGGGCGTGAAGCGCCGCTTCGAGTTGGCCGAGGATCTTGTCTACGACTGGGAGTTCCCTGGCCCATCAGACTTGCCTACAGATTATTCTGTCGCCGAGAGCAGTAAGTATTTCTTTGGCAAAGGGGAGCGTTCTCGTCTCGCTGCGTTGAAGACGGATAAGGAGCTTGCCCTTAGTCTGCGACTACAGCAAGAAAGGTGTCTGTTGCCGCCGGCTCTTCTGGTGCGGGCCACGGACCTTGTGAAGCCCGACGCAGAGAGCCGAGCTCGCGTGGACCTTTCCAGGGACCAGCGCATGCTAGGCTGGGAGGATCACCCTGTTGGCTTCATCCGAGCTGTGCAAGATACGTCAGGCCACCATTACGATCTCTTTGAGGGAGGTGACAGAGTGAGTCACCGCCCTTTACTGCTAACCCTGGTGGCTCTGGTCCCAGGATTCTGGACTTACTCGCTAACACATCCTAGTTGATTGCAGTGTCGCAGGCCATCAACGGGTGGTGTTCCATCCTAGACGAGGCGTGGAGCAGCAGGAGCAAGGGTGTCATGCTTAATCCTGCGAAGACTGGGGTTGCAGAGAAGAAAAACATAATGATGGAGAAGAAACTGACTGCAGTTGTTCAGGAAGTTCCGGCCTTCTGGATATAGGCATCGTCCCAAGTCTTGTTCACGGAGGATCAGTCACTGGTTGTTTTCCTGTCTTTTGTGCAAGTGCATCGCTGGAAAATAGTTTTTGTTTTTTTTTACAAGTAGACGAGATAAACCAAAAGCGAGTATCTGCATCTGCACAGGCCATTCTGCATGTAGTTAAGCGGAAACGCACAAAATAACGTTATGTGGCCACTTTTATGTGCGAGCGCAGATCCGGGGATCGTGGCCAGTCATGTCGCAGGAACCCCTAGCGAGATCAGCAGCTCCAGCATGCTCGCATTATCCACTTTCGCGGCATGATGCAGAGCGGTCCAGCCCGCGTAATTCCTTGCACTGAGATTCGCACCCATGTCTGCCAAAACCCTAACCGCCTCCTCCTGGCCAGCCCTGGCGGCTCTGTGCACCGGCGTGTCGCCGTCCAAGTCCGTCCAGAAGACGGAGGCGCCGTGCTGTGCGAGGAGCTGCAGAATCGCAATGTGGCCGCGCTCGGCGGCGATGTGCATGGAGTCGCCGACGGCTGATGGTTTGGCGCCGTGCTCAAGCAGAACCTGCACGGCCGCGAGGGATCCGTGGGTGCAGGCTACCTGGAGAGGTGACTCAACCCATAAGGTGGCTGGAGCATGCGCGACGCTCTCTGCACTGGCGTCGGATGAAGAGTGGTTTGATAGGTGTTGTTGGGTTGGGAGGGCAGACGTTGTGAACTGGTTGTCGGGACCCTGTACGAGTGAAGATGGCTAGTCAGCGATCGGAACCGGCGATTCATCACGCAATGCACACGAGAGAGGCACTGACAGCGGGCTCAAAAAAGTTGGAGAGATAGGTGGCGTCGGTATATGTCGACGCTGTGTTGCCCTCTGGAGAACTCGACGTGTGGTGTGGGATGTGGTTGGTATTAGAGGGACCCAGCAACGGCTGCAGATTGTTCACGACGCCGCCCATGGTTGCGACAGTCTCGTGCTCGTTACTATCCACGAGGGTAGGTGTGTTGTCGCTGCTGTTCCGCTGTTGTGGTTGTGATGTTGGTGGTACAGCGTCTGCATGTTCTGGAGAGCTCTCGCTGGGGGTTGTGATTGCGCCCGTAGCTGTTGTGTGATGTTGCAGCCTACTCGCGGTGCTGTTGGAGGTGTTTGAGGAGAATGGGTGCTCTCGACTGTTGCATATAGCATTCGCGAGTCTTGCGCCATCTGCTGTCGATGGCTGACGATTCAGGCCGTGAAGGATGTAAGAAGGGTGTACAGACGTGGGACGGATCAGAACAAGGAAGGCTTACGAGATCTTCTTTTCGCGATGCGATTGTTCCTCGTCCGAGGGTCCTCCTCCACAAACATGTCGTGGAGACGTCGTCGACGAGGAGGAAAAAGGATGCAACTTTGCGTTTGTTTGCCATGTGCTGCTGCTTTTTGCGGAGGAGACGAATATGGAAGTGTCACGTAGAGATTCGCGGGTGGGCGTAAGGGCGCCCTCTTCATCAGATAGAAAGAGACCTTGATTTTTCCTGCTAGGAAGGAGTGCCCTCGTGACTCTCCTCGTTACGGCTGACCTAGATGACTGATAATGTTGTGGCGGCCGTCCGACAAGAAGTCGACCTGCATGGAATATAACACGCTCGTCTCAAGCGAGCGCGGGACAGGGTCCCAGCATCGGAAAGGCTCGCTTGAAAGGAGAAGGAACTGGTGGTGTCGCTGTTTAGGTAGCTGCAATGTAGACCCGTCCAAGTGCAAGGCCTCACGCCAGACCGGACCCGCGCGACGTGCACGGGGAAATATGTAGGGACTGCCAGGCGAGTTGCCGATTCTTTCTTAGTCAGAGATGCAGCCCAAGAGATGAACTAGACAGACTGGGAAGCACAGGTGGACCGAGACTCTCGAATGGGTCTACGAGAGCGAGCAATACGACGGTACACAATGTGAGGGGGGATCAAGGCAGACACGGCTGCGGAATGGGCTGTGCGAATATGAGGCTGGACTGGAACCTGCAGCAAAGTGCAGATTACAAGTAAGTAATATGGAGTCATGCCAGTTGACCAAAGTCTCAATGACTGGTTCCTTACAAGTGGCAACAGAGACTCGCTGGGGGCCGCTCCTCGACTCTTCAGGATTCTGACAACCCTGGTTTCTCATTACCTATGCGACAACACGCCGTCTGACCTGACGGTAAGCAAAGTCGGTGTTGGATTGTAGGGTAGCTATCTACCTAGGTAGACAGGATGATGATCACGTGGAAGGGGAACACGTGATCGCTGAGAGCAGTCGTGTATATGATTATTCTGATACAGCCTTTCAGGGGCTACCTAGGTAGCTAGCTAGATAGGAGGGAGGACACTTGCAATTACACCCGAATCACCGTTTTTGAGCTCTTTGGCGCAGCCAGCTTAGGGAACAGGATTCACGCAAGCACGGAATCCTCTCAACAGTCGGAGTGATAAATGACCACTCTGTGCGTATATTATAATGCCATGGATGGGCTGACGAGGGGCACAGAAACTCTAGGCTCTACAGCCAATGACAAGACCTAGACAAGCCACCCAATGCCACCAGGCACGCCGACTTGTGGATCAAGGCCGAGGAGAGAGGGGGAGGGGAAAGAAGAGATGGGGGATTACCGGGATGTTTGTCGCGGAACACGGGAGAACGCTTCGCTGCACATCAGCCACACGGGAACCAACAACGTCCCTGCAGGACAGACATGGTTATTCGTACTAAGACTCCACTAGGCTGGGGCTAAATCCTGCCGACAGCGGGACCGGAAAGTTTCTTGCTGGCTTTTGTCGGGCTTTGCATTGTGGCCTTCTCTAGGCTCACGCCACCCCTGCCGCCTATGCTCCCGCTTTCTTCACCCTCTCGCGTCAGCTCAGTACCCGTGGTTGGAGGCATACCACCAATAGAAGAGACCAGGCCAGTCAGCCGCGCCCAATGCTACCCTGGGGTGGTGGCTAAAAGGGCCCCGTCCAGGAGGGATACATGCACCCAGCCCAGGGTGTAAGTTGCTTATTAGCCTGAGAGGAGCCGTAAGACACGGGGAGTTATCGATCCAGTTTTCCCCAGCCGAATTGGTCCTGGTCGAAATGAAGAATGTTTCGGTGGGATTCAGCGAGAGGGATAGGCCCTGCACGATTGCCGTCCAGGTGGTGGCGCGCGCTAGGCGAAGGAGTCGCCCTGCATGCGCGCGTTAATTACGCCATGACTTGTCGCAGCGAATGGCGTGGTGCGCGCCAGACACACTGACCATTATTCTGCTCGTCATCAGCTTAAGTAGGCAGGCCAGAGTTGGCTGCCAGTCTCTCGACTCTGAAGGATTCGGTACCCAGTCCATGGACCGAGTTCATCGGCCCTGTTGCGACGGGGGCCGAAGCTGAGGGACAGGATGGATGTTGAGATCACTGTTTCTTTTCAGGTAGACAGATTCCTCGCGTATGCGACCACAAAATGCCAAGAGGACCGGTGAGAGTACTTCAGATGCTCCTTCCCGGTAGACTTCACTCTCTGTCCCACGTGTTGTCTGCGGATCCTCCTGACAGTCCGTCGTTCCTTATGTGCATGCTGCTTAAGACACTCGTAATTACGTGCTTATATGGATTTCGATTGAAGCTCATCCACTGTACGAGTACAGAGCAAGTCCTGAAAGTATCCTCAAGCCCCCTGCAAGCCTCGCTTGTCCCCCGGGCCGCCCATCTCCACAAGGATCGCCGTCGCGCCGCCACCACCGTTGCAGATGGTTGCGCATCCTAGCCTTGATCCCCTGTTGCCCATCACGGTCAGTAGCGAGACCAGTACCCGACACCCGCTTGCGCCCAAGGGGTGGCCAATGGCGAGAGATCCTCCCGCCACATTGACCTTGTCCATCGGTATGCCTAGTTGAGCCACATTGGCCAGGGTTGAGACGGCAAATGCCTCGTTGATCTCAAAGACGTCGATGTCGGACACAAGGATTCCGGAGCGCGAAACGAGCTTCTGAATGGCGAGCGAGGGCGCAGTGATGAAGTCTTGGGGGTCGGTCTCAGCATCGGCCCAGTCTACAATGCGCGCCACTGGCTGGACGTTGAGTTCCGATGCCCTGGCACCAGAAACAAGCACAACAGCAGCAGCGCCGTCGCTGAGAGATGCCGTGTTGCCGGCTGTAACGGTACCTGTTTCGGTATCAAATGCAGGCTTGAGGGAGGACAGTGTCGTGAGAGGAAACTTTGACAGGCAGTCAGTCAGTCAGTCAGCCAGCGTGTAAGTCTGTCTCTGTGTAAGCAGGCACATGGCTACCTTTGCGAGGGTCTCGTCTCGATCAATGGCCTCAAACACACCAGGACTGCGCTCGATGCTCAAAGAGGCGATCTCCGCGGTCATCCAGCCAGCCTCGTAAGCAGCTGTCAGCTTCTGAAAGCTGTCTCGTGCTGCCTCGTCCTGTGCCTGCCGCGAAAGGCCATGCTGTCGGGCCGTATACTCAGCCTTCAGCCCCATTACCTCTTCTGCGCCGTACGGATCCGTCAAGCCGTCCCGAACAACACCGCTGACGGGTGGTGAAGGAGGCATTGGCTTCTTGGGTGCTGAGGACGATCCATTGGTGGCCTTTGCCGCATTATTGCGGAAATACAGCGGACAGTTTGTCATGGATTCGGTGCCGGCCGCAATAACGGTGGCCGCATGGCCGCTCAGGATGGCCTGGGCGCCCACTGTCACTGCTTTTAGCCCAGAGGCACACACTTTGTTGACACTAGTGCAGATCACTGAGAAAGGCAATTCGGCACCGACAGCACACTGCTTGGCTGGGTTCTGTCCGAGGCTGTAGAGTGAGAAAGGCGTGCGCCAATTAGTCTTGGATGTATCTTTCCTGTCCGACAGACACGAGAATACAACAGGCCAAGCGGCAAGAGGACAGAGGCAGAAAGGCTATTCGCCGGGGG